TTTCTGCCCCACTATGGTTTTGTGTCTGCTCAACAGGAAGATGCTTCATTGTGGTAGGCTCTGTTGCAATATATATTGGAGCATTGAGTTACAGAATTGTTGAAGTTGGAAGGGACATCTGGAGATAGTGAAGAGCCAACCCATTGCTCAGAGCTGGGTCAGCTGGAGCAGGTTGCCCAGGACCATTGCTCACCTGGTTTTGTGTACCTCCAGTGCAGACACCACAACCTCTTGAGGCAACATCTTCCTCTGTTTCATCACTCTTACAGCAAAATAAGCTTTTCTTTATGTTTCAATGTATTCCAGTTTGTGCTCATTGGCTCTTGTCACTGGATGCCACTGAGAAGAGACAGGCACAGTCTTTTGTACAGTATTCCATCAGATCAGGTCCTCCTGAGCCATCTCTTCTCCAGGGTGAACAGCCCAGGCTCTCTCAGCCTCTCCTCTTATGTCCCTCCATCCCCTTTGTGGCTCTTTGCTGGAGGAGCTTTATTCTGTCCATGTCTGTCTTGAAATTGGACAGCCCAGCACTGCTCTGTGGATAAGGACCAGGAGGTCCTGGTGGACACTGAGTTGACTGTGAGGAGCCATGTGTTCCTGTGACAAGTCCCACAGCACCCTGGGCTGTGTTTGGGTCAAGGGAGGTGATCCTGCCCCTGGAGACCCATCTGGGGTGCTGGGCCCAGGGCTCGGCACCCACCAGGGAAGGAGAGTCAGGGACAGACCAGAGTGAGTCCAGCAAAGGCCACAAAGATGCTGGGGGGTCTGGAGCTCCTGAGATGTGAGGAAGGGCTGGGGGAGCTGCTCAGCCTGGAGAGGAGAGGGCTGAGGGGGTCTCTTCCCTGGGTATTGATGTCTGATGGGGGAGTAGAGGATGGAGCCAGACCCGTCTCAGCGATGCCCAGGGACAGGATAGGAGGTGATGGGCTCAGGTTGAAAATCAGGAAATTCCAGTTAAAAACTTGTTTTATTTTAAGGAAGATCAGAAACTAGATCAGGTTGTCCAGGGAGGTTGGGGAGTCTTCAGACTTGGGGACATATGAAACTCGACTGGATGAGATTCTGAGCAAACTGTTGAAAATGCCTTTACTAGGAGGTGCTTCCCCCCGAGGTGAGGACTTTGCCTTTCTCTGTTGAACTTCATGAGGTTCCTGTTGGGCTGTTTCTGCAGCCTGTTGAGTTCCCTCTGACTGGCAGGACACTCATCTGCTGTATCCACTGCTCCTCCCCGTGTCGTGTTAGCTGCAAACAGGCTGAAGGTGCTCTCTGTCTTGTCGTCCAGGTCCCTAATGAAGGTCTTGGACTTCCTCACCCCCAGGGACTTCGAGTGGGACTGAAAGAACAGGCCCCAACATTTATACATAAATCACATGAAAATCTATGCACATCCACACGTACATAGAACCGTGCAAGGTATAGATGAACCTGCTCAGCAACCTGAAGGTTGCTGCATGAATTGGTGAGGAGAAGCTTCATGTGCCCTGTTCAGCCTGGAGAAGAGAAGGCGCCGGGGAGACCTTCCAGCCCCTTCCAGTCCCTCAAGAAGGGGGGCTCCAGGAAAGCTGGGGAGGGACTCTGGATGAGGGAGGGGAGCCCTAGGAGGAGGGGGAAGGGTTGGACCCTGCAAGAGGGGAGATGGAGCTGAGCTGTGGGGAAGAACTTGTTTGGTGGGAGGGTGGTGAGAGCCTGGCCCAGGTTGGCCAGAGAAGCTGTGGCTGCCCCATCCCTGGAGGGGTTCAAGGGCAGGTTGGAGGGGGCTTGGAGCAACCTGGTGTGGTGGGAGGTGTCCCTGCCCAGGGCAGGGGGTGGCACTGGGGGGCTTTAAGGTCCCTTCCCACCCAAGCCATGCTGTGGTGATCTGTAGACACAGAAGCCGTTTCTCAGCTGAGCCCTACCCTTGAAATGCCTCTGTTACAGCAAAAAAATAACCTGGGAGGTGAGGAGCAGTTAATTAGCCTTGACCATAGTGTCCGTACGAGGTTACCAAGAAACTGGCCATGAGTAGTTGCAGGTTGTGTCCTGGAAAGAAGGTTTTTTTGTCAGCGGGGGTGTTAGTTTGTGTAAAAGCCTTCCAATAACGACACATTGTAATGGTTGGGCCGAAAGAACACTCTTAAGATGGCATTTGCAGAATTTATTGTTTACTAAGTAACATGTTTTATCCTTCAGACTAGATTATCTTCAGGGCTTTCTAGGACATGAAATCCAGCTCTCTGCTCCTATGAGCACACTCATTTCTGGAATAATCTTTCACCAGAAGTCATGGGGATACTTTTTTCCCCTTTGTCTCTTTACCAGCCCTCATTCTGCTTTTCTTTCGCCGTCTCAGAGCAACTGGGTGTCCGAGGCAGTTGGTTTTGGCGAGAGCAGCCTGTGTTGTAACGATGAGTCACGATTTGGATGCCGAGTTCCCGGAGCTGGTGAGGGGTCTGGAGCTCAAGCCTTGTGAGGAGCAGCTGAGGGAGCTGGGGGGGTTCAGCCTGGAGAAAAGGAGGCTGAGGGGAGACCCTCTCGCTCTCTCCAACTCCCTGAAAGGAGGGGGTAGTGAGGGGTGAGGGGGGGGTTGGTCATAGAATCATAGAGTTGTCCAGGTGGGAAGGGACCTTTTAAATCATGGACCACCAACCCAGCACTGCCCAAACCCCCACTGCCCCATGTCCCTCAGCACCACCTCTGCCCGGCTTTGAAATCCCTCCAGGGATGGTGACTCCACCACTGCCCTGGGCAGCCTCTGCCAAGGCTTCACAACCCTTTTGGGAAGAAATTGTTCCCAATATCCATCCTAAACCTCCCCTGGCACAATTTGAGGCCGTTTCCTACAACTTGGTTAATTAGCACTGATAATTGTCTGTTGCGTAATCTGAATTACCCAGTTTTGTGGGTTTATCCAACCAACAAAACCCAGCGACTAGAGCTCGGTCAGTGCTGGCTGACTTGGATACTCAACTTCAGCTTGGTAAATGCTAATAATAATGTGCAGTGGAATTTGTAAAAATAACCTTTCAAATAAAGCTCTTTAAACTCCAGTCATTAACAAAACTTCCTATGGCATTGTGCAGCAGTTGCAAAAATGTTTTTAGTGCTTAACATGAGTTTCAGGCTATTTAATTGTGCGGAGAGGATTTCTCGTAGCTTTTTTGTGTAGTACTGTCTTCTAAAGCTAGTAACTGCCTAAAAAGCTGATTCTTGCAAATCAGGAGTGGAACTGCACCTAAACTGAAAACATATTTGGATGTTAGTAAGAATGGGGAAAATAGGCTGGAGTGCCTCCACCTGAAGACAATGTATATATTCTATATTTTCTTTAGGAGAGCAAAAACTTCTTGTCTATCGTGTCTTTTATCCCCTGCTCGATACGTGTTTTTACCTTTATATACTCCTTCCTGCTTGGCACACTTAAATATATTTTGAATTTTGAGTTGTACATTGTAGACTCTTGTGAAATGTAGGCAGACGTGTAAGTGAATTTGGGTCATTGATTCCTAAGAAGGTGTGTTTCTTCTAAAAGAACTTCATAATTACACAAAATCTTTTAAATTTTAATTTTTCCTTCACTACACAGCCAGGTGCTTTGGGTGGAAGTGACTTGTGCAAGTGACTGCTTGGCCTTACGAGGTGAAGTCAAGGAGATGGAAAATGCTTTAGAAAATCTTAGAAGTACAGTCTTTTACTTGGGCTTAAATTTACCAGTTTCTAACATAATAACTCGTTTTAATTTTGCTTATAATTCTGGGTGTATGGATTTTGCAATTCTAGTAGGAATATGATATTATGCATACGCACAGGTGTCTATTGTGAATGTGCAAATTGAATTTTTCCAAATCATTTCTGGGCCAAAAGCAGGCAGTTTTTTATGAAGACAGCATTGTATATTCTGGAATATAACAATATCCATTAGACTGGACAATATCTCATTTTCCAGATGCAGCAGGGAAAGGGGCATGGCAGCTCTGTGAAGTAACAAGTCAGTTTTCCTAACTTTGAAAAAGCTACTTCATTAGGTCTGGTCCTGAAAATAGTTGAAACATTTGCTTGAATTTTCAAACCAAATGAGGTTTGCGTGTCTGACATGCAAATTTCATCCCAGAAGGTTAAAGATCAGCAAAGTTATAAACAAGGGAAAGCAGAATTTTATGAAAGATGTTTATTCTGATTATAAATGTGAGGTTACCAAATATGGGAGGCCAAAGGGTATCCCTATTTCATAAAGATTTTTGTGGAAGTCTTGGTTTTTTCAGTATTTCAAAAAATATATTTGTTTCATAGTCTGTGGTCATATTAATTTGTGTTATGAACATACTTGAGAAGAAAGTTTGGCTTGCAAAATAATTTATTTTTTTTTCCTCACAGCTGGATTAGAGATTAAGATTAAATTGCTTTTTCCTTTTGATTTATGAGGAGTTCCCATTGTGATTTGTGATTACCTTTTAAAAGTGTGTAATTTAAATAGGAGTAGGATTTTGTGTATTGCATAGCATGCAGTTACAAATAGGAAGAATAATTTCTCTTAAACTGGGCTTCCACTGTCAGTATAATCTGGCACAACCTTGGCTATGGAAAAGGGGATTTAGTACATGGAATTTTTAGTTTTTTATCGGCATAAAGGAAGAATTGGAACTGAGCAGATAGAGATGGAGAGAAATAGTGTTTCCCCATCTGGCAATAGCACCAGTTTCTGCCATACTAAGCTGATGGTGGAATTTGTAATACTGTTTTCAGAATGAATTGGTTTGCTTTATTTTATACCTTCATCAACTCAATTATTGCATCACAAAATGGGCAGCTCCTCCAATTATTCACTATTGCTGAAATAGTGCAAGTGATATTGATACATAAAGGAACAGGTGAATACTATTGACCTTTAATTGCTCCAGTGTGTTTGGGTGCTTTATTTGTAAACATGTTATTTGCAGTGACTTGCTTTGTATCAGATGAATTATTGAATTGAGTTTCTGTGGTTCAACAAAGAAAAAAATAATTTCTTTTGTTTTCTTTTTTAGCCTTCTGTTGAGTCTTCAAGCCCAGGTAAATATGTTTTAATATTTCCTAAATTTGGGGGGGAAGAGGGCACCCTTGAAAAAATATTTTTGCTGGTCTCTTCCAGTTAGTGATCTAAGGATATCATGTGATGAATAGGTTGGTGGCACTACTGGGTTAAGTGGTCACTGCTTTCTTCCAGTCTGTACCAGCTACCTAGTAGTCAGCCTCAGTCTAAATTATGAATATTTGGGTGTTTTTTTTTGTTGTTGTTCACTTTTGTACCACTGTGCTTACTCTTATTTATTTCTAAGGGTTTTGGCATCCTACGAGTGGAAAAGCTTTCCACTGGTTACTTTAGCTGGACTGCCATTGTCTCTTGAGCTCTTATTTCTTCCAGAGAAATAATTAATTGCTTTAACCCTTCAAAAATATAGCTTTAAAAGTATATTCAAGAAGAATATTCAAAAAGTATATTAAAAAAGTATATTAAAAGTATTGTTAACTTTAACCCTTATAGTCAACCTCTTGAATCCTTAGTGTGGGTACACTCTTCAGGCTTTGGAAAATGAAATTTAAATTGTCCATGGGGACAAGTGGAAAAGTATTAGCAGAGTTAGAATGAGAAATTGGGTATCGCTGAATTAAAGAAAAATACTGCATCTACCAAACCATTCATCCATTCATTTATTTTTCGTTGTCATGAAATATAACCAGACTTCTTTACAAAGAATGGTGAAAAAACTGCACGGGGGAAAAAATAACTAAGTATTCTGCATCAGAAATAAAATCTGCATAACTGTGAAGCTGCCTTTAAATTTAAATTTCGGAACAGTCATTAGACTGTCTTTGTAGTCGCAAACAAGCAAGTTTGCAAAGCAGCAAGGAAATAGCCGCCCTGAGTTTATATTTTATGAGTATTTCTGCTCCCAGTAGAACTCTTGATTCAGACAGGTTTATGATTATTTAGGAATTAAGTCTTCAAAAACTGAATATTTTACAAACATTTAACTAGGGGCCCGATGTCCGGATATATAGTCCTTTGAGAACTGGCTGGTTAAACACTATCTCCTGGTTCTTTTTTCCATGATCTCTTAGAACCCAAAGGACATAAGGAATAATGAGATTGGCTTTCCCAAAAATAAAATAATCGAGGGATCTTGAAGATATTTTAATTTCTCAGTATAATTTGAGTATTAAAATGTCACCAAACTAAAAAAAAAAATAAAGTAAACTCTGTGAGGCCATGATCTAACTAAAGACATTCTTTAAAATGTTTTCTATCAGGAGGTTCAGCAACATCTGATGACCATGAATTTGATCCATCAGCTGATATGCTGGTGCATGACTTTGATGATGAACGGACATTAGAAGAGGAGGAAATGATGGAAGGAGAAACAAACTTCAGTTCTGAAATAGAGGATCTTAACAGGGTAGGTAGCCTTAAGGAGTCATAAAACAGAACTGCAGTCGCACACAAAACATACGCAGGCTTTTTCCCTTATATTTGGAATTAAAAAAAAAAAAAAAAAGTCCCTAAACTGCTAATAGACAAATAGTACAGCTGGGGGAAAGGGGCTGAGATAAATGCGCAGTTCTTAAAAGTTGGGAAAAGGAAACTGGTACATAAATACTTCATAATGTATAACGCTGTGCTTGTTTAGTTTCTTTTTGCATATATGTGCTGGGGTAGGATTTGCATTTTAGAGCTAATATAAATTAAAGAACGCTCTGACTAAACTTGTATATCCTAGTGTTGTTACTTTCTAGAGCACTTGCATTTGATTAGTGCATATACATTTTCATTTTCTTTTTTAAAACCCCATAATTCTACATTTCTTTTGCATTTTTATACAAACCTTTGTATAATAATTTAGAGGAGTATCTTCGTTTTGAAGGCAGAGGAAGCAGAGATGCAGATGAAATGATTGGCTCGAAGCAAAGAGTTGTCAGCAGAGCTGAGATCAGAACTCACAATTACTATTAATAGTGATAAATAAAGCTTAAAATGTGTATCTTCTGAAATAATTGCATAGAAGATGTATTTGGCCTTTTGAGGTTATGCTGTCACTTACGTATCGTCTTCAATCACTTCTCAGGCAGGAATAATATTCTTAAATTACAAACTAGGTTCATTACAAATGCAAAGTAATTTAGGTATTGTCTGTGGCCTCGTTGGCTGAAAAGGCTTCCAGAACAGATCATTAATGATTCTCAGATGCATATTCCATTTACAATCCCTATTTATTATAAGTAACTATGCCAATATGACTTCAATTAAGTTCATTTAAACTACAATTTGGGTGTAAATGATAATTTCTTTCTGGTAATTTCAGGTTTTGATATTAAATGGTAAACATAAAGGTAAATAAATAGTTTGTGAATCTAAATACACATCTAGATCGACTGAGAAGTGGAGCTCCACGTGGATGTGATGTGGGTTTTAAGGTGAAAATATGGGGGGTTTCCCCTCATATTTTATGAAGAGTCAACATCTGGTTGTGTAATTCTGTCAGCACATCCCAGTGCTTGGTTTATAACTGTATTTCAGCCATCAGTTTATTCCTTCATATCTTGGGTGCCAGGGCTGGGGGTTTATCATTTCTCCGTGTGTCAGCTCTTTTGGGATCAGGACAGCCAGCGATGCTGTAACGTAGAGTCACACTTTTTTGAAGTTGAGGATGATAGGCAATCTAAACCTCAAAACTATTGCAAGACAAGTGCTATCCTGTGAAGCAGTTGCTGCTGACACATTTTACCTATTGGGTTTTTTTTTTTCACTAAAAGGTTCAAAATGCTACAATTTTTCCAGGTAGTTTTTGAGCAGTAAAGGGAATACCGATGTATGTTCCAGTGAGGAATTGTGCCTCTGCTCTGCCCTAGGGAGGCCCCATCTGGAGCACTGGGACCAGTTCTGGGCTCCCCAGTTCCAGAAGGACAGGGAACTGCTGGAGAGGGGACAGCAGAGGCTACAGAGATGATGAGGGGCCTGGAGCATCTCTCTGCTGAGGAGAGGCTGAGGGACTTGGGGCTTTTTAGTCTGGAGAAGAGAAGACTGAGGGGGGATCTGATCAATGCTTATAAATACTTAAAGGGTGGGTGTCAGGAGGGGGGGGCAGGCTTTTTTCAGTGGTGCCCAGGGACAGGACAAGAGGGAATGGGCACAAACTTGCATACAAGAAGTTCCATCTAAACATGAGGAGGAACTTCTTCACTTTGCGGGTGGCAGAGCCCTGGCAGAGGCTGCCCAGGGAGGTGGTGGAGTCTCCTTCTCTGGAGACATTCAAACCCCACCTGGACACGTTCCGGTGGGACCTGCTCTGGGTGGACCTGCTCTGGCAGGGGGTTGGAGGAGATGATCTCCAGAGGTCCCTTCCAACCCCATGTCATTCTGGGATTCTGTGAGGAGTGTGTTCTCCCTGTGTCCTGAAGGGGTGTGATGGAACCAGACATAACCAGAATCAATTGTGTTTTGGTAAAACTGTAGTAGCAAGTGCCAAGGGAGAGATGGGACAAATTGATGCCCTTTTAATGAGTTTCATGGCCCCTCAGAGAGACTGTTGGCACACGAGATCTGCTGTAAATTTATAAAGGATTGGGCAATAACAAAGTTCCCCTGCATAAAAACCCACACATTTTTCTTAGGAGCCGAATACTTTGGATTTTGACTGTCTGATCATTTGGGAGTAGACTTTTTTAGTACATGTGCTCATCTTTTCTCTTGTTTTTGCTGTGTTATGTTTAAAGCGCACACCTTTAAGCTGCAGAGCAGATGTGGGATGTGAAATACTGTTGTTAAAAATCTCCAAACTTTGTTTGGCTGTTTCTCAGGAAAGCGATATGCCAATCCAGGAGCTCCTTAGCCGTTACGGGTATGACGGTACCATCCCACTCCAAGAAGATGATGATGATGAAGATGATGAAGAAGAGGAGGAGGAGGGAGAAGATGATGATGATGTAGATAACGATGACAACAGTGGCTGCAGTGGTGAAAACAAAGTAAGTGTTTGCATTCATTTGAAACTGATTTTCATGCAGCCATTCTGTCCTCAAGATGCCAAATCACAGCAGAAGTAATTAATAATGTAGTTGATTTCCGATGCTTTGTTGTAGTGAACTCTAGTGTTTATTCTTAATTACCTGTCTGTATTTCTCTTCATTGCCCTTAATTTCATCTGTATCGTTCCAAATGCTTCCTGTGGCGAATTAGAGTGCGTGTGTACATTCAGCATCAAGTAAGAAGGGACTATAATTGTCCTTCAGAAATAGTCTTACTTCCAAACAGAGGTTTTAAATGCCTGAGGGCACCTTTATGGGTACGACTGAACACTTGCTTCGTGCTGAAAAGACGATCTACTGAAACTGGATGGTGAAGTGTAGAATTGAATTAAATGTGTCTCCGAGTATTGGAGATCACTGTGACTTTTCTAGCATTTTAAATGGTATTTTTTCAGCCTGGCAACCCTGGTTGTGCTTAAATTGTTAACTGAATCACATGTTTCAGGTATCTTTGCGAAACGTATGGTTTTGAACTCAGCATCTTGAAAATCCTGTTCCCTGTGCTCTTAAAAGAAATTTCCTGATTTCAGAATAGTCTTTCCTCCTCGTGTATGTCATACCTACTTGGAACGATCCCGTCCCGTCGTGGGCACAGCTGTAACAGCCCCATTACTGCTGACATTCAGAGTTGCATCCTGAATTCCATTAAAATATCAAACCCTTTGTGTTGTCAGTAACAAAAAAAAAAAAAAGAAAAAAAAGGCTTAAGCATTAATGGAAGTTGCATTACCTAATCTGGCTTTCAAAAGGATGCGTTTTGTTCTTTGATATCTTTCCCATTTTAGAAGCTCTGGAATGTGACAGGGAGGGAGATGAGGAATGACATCTCTGATGCAGAAAATGAAGTTCTTGGGATTTAAAGGCTTCCTCAGCAGATGCTGTAAAAGGTTGTTGTTTGGGTTGCATAGCTCAGAAAGAAGAAAGATATGTGGTTGTATTACATCAAAATAGGTTCAGGAAGGTGGAAAAGGGGGAGAAACTTGCACAACGTGAAGGATGCAAAATTAAAATAGGACACAAAAGTGGTTTATTTTGTTGTGCGTGGCCGTGTTGCTGAAGTCTCACTTTCCTCCTGTGTCCTTGCTTCTTAATGACACAACTTCCATCCTCTGCCTTCTCACGACCTCCTCCCAAGGTCTCCATGTCTGTTACTGCCCGATTTAAGGCACTGCCTGTCTTTTCTCTCAAATGGCTACAACCCCAGTGGCTGTCACCACCAGAGGAGTCCCCTTGGTCCCCTTGGACCCTTGGTGTGGGGGGCACTGGGAGCCCAGAGCCCGAGTTGGTGTTGCTCTGGTTTCCCTTGAGGTAGAAGAACGAGAGCTCCAAAACGCGTGTGTGCTCTTAGCAGAGAGGCAGGAAAATACATCTGTGGGGGAGGAATAATTTTATAAATCATTCAGGCTTTCTCTGCAAGTGCTCGTCTTTCCACAGCTTAGTTAGCTCTGCTGCACTTAGCTATTTGCTATTTTTAAGCTGCTTTAAGCTGCACACGCGATAATACTCAGCTCCCTGGTAAAGGTGCACATAAACATGTGCTGGGCCTGCTGCTTCTCTGTTAGAACTAGCAGGTCTCAGTGCTTACAAATAAGTCATAAAACACATAAAATGTATCGACAACATGCATTATTTTAACCTTTTAATTTTCCTTACTTATAATCCTTCTCATAGTTGGGGTCTTATTCTAATAAAGAATCACAGAATCACATTCTGTGATTCTGTGATTCTTTATTAGAATAAGACCCCAACTATGGGAAGGGTTACAACTACAGAAAATAAATATACAAAGAATAAATCATTATTTATCTTCTAATAAAGAAACTCATTCTAATCTTTGATCTTTTAATGACTCAATGTACGTACTGGAGTCTACTGATAGGCTGTTCCTGTGGGGTCGAACCACGCTGTTGACATTAATTTTTTATGGAAGGCACCATTTTCATTTGATTGAGGAAAGTATAGGCAGTAAATAATCCACCCCCCTTCCCCTTTAATTGAAAATTCATAAGGAAAGGTTTTAAAGACCAAAGTAAAATTCAAAGTTAAATGAGATTAAATGAAAACTACAAGGATTTGCTTGACTAATTTAAAAAAAAAAAACAAGGGTGTTATTTGATTGTAGTTCATATTTCTGATTTGTGTGCTAGAGTCTGAATGTTAAATTGATCTGCTGAAAATCCTAGTCAATAAATAATGTGATGTGTTTACATATTTGTTGTGGCTCAGTCTGGACAGGCCACAGTATCTCCAGTCACTTGAAGTCAGATAAAAGATATTTGGGGTTGACATATTGACCATTTTGGAAAAAAAAATTGCCAAAATAGTGTTTGTGACACACAAGGGATAAGCTGATCTCCCCTTTCCTTTTTTATATTTCAAGGAGGAGACCATCAAAGATTCATCAGGTCAGGAAGATGAGACACAGTCATCTAATGACGACCCAGCACCATCTGTTGCTTCTCAAGATCCACAGGAGATAATTCGCCCTCGTCGCTGTAAATATTTTGATACAAGTATGTACAGTTTAGTGCTAAGCACAATAATCTCAATATGATTTATCTTTGGTTGAGAACCACTCTAGTTAACGGAGTGTTCTGCTTCTGAAATATGCATCTTGATCCCTGTAAACACTTGTTTGTTCTCTCTCATCACACTGCTCTTGATTATCATTGTGCTCAAATTAATAAGCAAAAACGAATCCTGTTTTTAGCTGAATGCTAAATCTTCTCTGCAGATCAGGGTCTTTATAAAATTAATAAGCAAAAACGAGTCCTGTTTTTAGCTGAATGCTAAATCTTCTCTGCAGATCAGGGTCTGTATAAAGATGATAGATATTCTCTCTTCTTGAAAGAAAGGATTAAATTTGTGGAAACATTTAAATTTCTACACTTTTGAAAAAAGCAGGCTCTCAGACAGTGTAAATCTTTCCTGACGCTGCTCCAAGTGTAACACCCCAGTTTACCATCCTGCAAACTGGTCTGTAGGGGTGTGCCCTTCAGAAAAATCTCCTTGTTCATGGAGACTGGATGCAGTAAGTGGTCAGTGTGGTCTTACCAGTGTAGTTCCAGCTGCCAGTTTGGGTGAAGGATGTAGGTAAGAACATTTGCAAGCAGGACCTGTGCTGTTCCAACTAGATAATTGCAACTCGGCGCGTGATGATCGTGGCAGAGCCCAGTGGCACCAGTTTAGGTACCCCATCAAAGAAGGTGAGAGTAAAAACTGACATGTACTAGAAACAGAATCCCTGATTTCTTCAAGATCACCAATACAGAAACCTAAAGCATTGAAATCTGAAAAAGGCCAGTAGATTGTTAGACCTGGGATAATGAAGGGAGAGATAACGGTGAAGAAAATGTGCCTCAAGAATTCCACGTTTGATACTGTTGCCAGCATTGTGGACTGATTATTTTCTCACTTGTTTTGTTTAAAAGTTGGGTTTGCATCCGTTTGAGAATGTTGAGCTTGTTTATGTGGCTCTCCCTTTAGAAAGCTCTCATTTTCTTTACTTAATGGGATCTGAACCTTTTAGCACTGAGCTACCAGCAGGGCCATTTGGGCAAGAGATATTTTATCTTTCTTTGGTGGAAGTGACACACTGATGTGTGAATTCCTACTGTTCTATGTTTTAACAAACAAAAGTTAAAGCAAAGGCTCCTTATGACACCTTGTACTTGATACTTATTAGCCATGACATTGTAGAAAAGCCATTTTCTAATCTGTAGTTTATTTTAATCCAGAAAGGCCAAGGAGCCTCAGCAGGTAGCTGTGCAGAGGATTGCAAGTATCTTGAAGTAATTCTATTTTTTAAACAAAGCAAGTGGATTGCATTAGGTTTTGGGGTGGTTTGTTGATTTTTTTTGCAATGTTCAGCTGTGTATAGAATGTAATTTAATGTACAAATAATTGTAGTGCTGATACTGTCACACGCTATACATAAAGTAGCCTGTATCATAAAGAGCTTACCATTTTTGTCAGTCCTTATCCCAAATAATCTATTTTAAATGCTGCTGTGCATCTCTGAGCAGCACATCCAGGGCTGCTAAATCCTGGTAAGATTGAGAAAAGCCCAGTTGCTGATTTCTCACACCTTTAAGTCTACCTTAAATTCAGTGACATTTGCTATAAGGGAAGAAGAAGAGCAGGAACTGAGCCAATTGAAAATGGTGCTGAAGCCCAAACGGGTGCTGAGTATCTGCATAAATATACTTTGAGAAAGTAGCTGTTTGTAGTAAATTTGGCTGTGGATCCTCTCAGCTGCTTCACGGCTGGGTGAGGAGAGGGAAGTTTTAATGAGGTGGTAGTAAAATTGATGGATGTGTTTGTTTGTGCCTTAACTTTTCGGAGCCTGTTGTGTGTGTGCTTTACCCATTCTAAACGTGAACATGGGTTTGAAACCATCAATACTGAAATATCTCATCACTAAAAGTGTCATTTACAGTTGCGTGGTGTTAGGTAAGGTGGCAGTGGAGGGGGGTGGGATGGGAGGCTGGGCTCCTCCTGTCCCCATTGTCACCCAGGAGCTGATGTCACATCCCCAGTCTCCTCGCTCAACTGGAGCTTGGTGCTGGTGTCCACGGGCCCCGTTGCAGCTCATCTTGTATAAATGTTTGAACATTCTCTTGCAGATAGTGAAATAGAAGAGGAATCTGAAGAAGATGAAGATTATATTCCCTCAGAAGACTGGAAAAAGGTAAATACTAATAAGGGCTGTTAAAAAAGCCTATAATTCCTGCATAATGAGTTGCTCTGTTCCCTGGTAACTGAGAGCTCTATAGATCACCCAAACCCTCTCCAGTTTTTCCCCATAAATAAAAGAGTCTTGATGGTAAGAAGCGTTCAAGACCTCCCCAAATAGTCAAAAAATCCATTTCCATATGGTGCCTGTTAACTGTATTTTTAGATTTTGAACAATGAAAGTTTTAAGGGGTAAAAAAAATGATGTGGTCATCCTCTTGTTTGCTAACAAAAACCATCACGGCTGTGGTTGCCTAACTTCTTGTTTCTGTTATTTCAAAACAGGAAATCATGGTGGGCTCAATGTATCAAGCTGAAATTCCAGCTGGCACATGCAAATACAAAGAGAATGAAAAAGGTGAGACTGGGCACTATTACCATTATCTCTATGTGTGAGATTATTTTCTCATGGGGAGAAGGAAAAGAGTTGATTGATGTCCTGTGTCTTACAAAATGAAAAGAGCTCCTTCAAGTGAAAACCAGAGCCATCATCTCAAACCGTAGTTCATCCTGTGCTTCACCATCAGAGCTTGAGTCTTGGAAGGGGAAAAGAAAGATTATATTGCTGACCTATTGCCTTTTGAACCCTTGTATTCTAATGTGGTGATGTACACAGGCTTTGCACGTACCTTATGTTAACCTCCTCACCTAGTCTATTTAATTTATATGAAACAAAATAGATAACAAATAAATTGAGTTGCTGGAATTGGATTAACACATTAGAAGAGGCAGAATGGTACCAGCAGCTTTGATTTTCACACTTTATAACTCTTCAATCATTATCAAGGAACCTCTTGTTCTACTTCTGGGGTTTTTTTCCAGAACCTTTTCCCCCTCCCAAGCAGAGCCTTTGGCTGTGTGCTGTCAATGTAATCAAGTCAGGAAAGGTAGATCCAGTTTAAACCCAGCTCTGACCTTAAAAGCAAATTTTCCTGCCCCTTCAGCCCATTGCTAAGAATTTGTTTAGACTCCAGGTCAGTTTGAGACTGAGTTTGTAGTTTTATATAAGTTAGTTTTTAAACTAAGCACAAAACTTGGTGCTTTCCTAGAATCCAGGCATATACACAAGCAGTAGCAGATGTTTTGCTTTGAGCTCCAGGTTGCAGGAGCTACACCGTAGCCTGATGGAGCTAAAAACCAGGGAAAAAGAGCATTACTCCTGCTATTGACTCCCACTGACACGTTCCCTCAGCTCTGGACTGAGGCGGAAGAAAATGTAATTTAAAAGTATGTGAGAAGTCAGGAGCTTCCATGAAAAGTAGAAAATGGCAAACTTAAAAACGGTCTGCTTTTTAGCTGTGGAGAAGTTGCTCTTTGCACACTTTCCTGCTTCTGGCTAAAAATAGAGCTCGAACTATGTATTTGCCTGGGATGCAGTAAATTCTGCTTTACTGGTCACCTGCTTTTCCTGGTATTTACTCAGCTCCAAATGGCTTCTGGCCTCCAATAATAAAAAAGATATAACTGCTTTATGTGCTGCAGTAACCTATATAAACCAGGTTTTCATAGTCTTGCACACAACTCTTTATAGAACAGAGAACCTACGTCATGGGAGAAAACCATTGAGGGAAAAGTTAAATTTTCACTAATTGTGCTATGGTTATTGTAGTTTTATATACCAGGGGGCGTTTATGCCTTCTGCCACTTCTTTCCTTTCTGCTGCTTTTTGGGTGTAATCATTGACAGGACTCCAACAGGAATATTAATGAAGCTTAAAAAGTCAAAAAAAATAAATATCTGAGACTACGTATTTAGTACTTTGTACATATTCCATTGGTTTAGTCCTTCTCTAATGAAGGGGAAATTCCAATGGTAAAATTCCCAAGCACTGAGAGGGCCAGTCCTTTCCTATCCAGCCTTGTAAGCAAAAGCACAAAAATGCTGGAACTCTGAAGAATAACCACGTTGCATTTCAGAACGAGTTCTGACAAGCTGTGGTGGGAAAGGAACAATCATGTAATTAATCTACACTAAGCTAATTAGGGTCTCTCCGTATGCCTGCAGACCGAATTAGCTGCTACCAAGCAATGTCAGGTTCTGAAAAATCTACAAAATTAAAAGTCTTTGCAAGACACTTAATAATTTAACTTACTACTTTTGATTTTTTTTTTTCTTTGTAGTCTCACTTTCATGTTAAAAATCATTTTTTTTAAGTAGAACTGCATCCAGGTGCCACCCTGACCTTTCCACTCTCTGTCCCCTCCCCGTGGTGGCCCTGCTTTCCCGAGGGGAAAGCTCCTTTCTCTTCTCAGAGATGCTCACGGAGCTCATGGAATCAGTGTCAAACTTACTTTCTTGCTGATTTTTTGTAAAGTTATCTTATATTGAAAACCAGGCCATAGGCAAGGTCTGGACGCTTTCCTGATTCTAGCTTTTTCAATAACCTGAATTTTACTTTATTTTGCTGAACTAGTATTTTAATCCTGCAGAGCTTGTAGGCTCTTGAAAAATAAAAATTTTTCAGAGGGTACGTCGTTTGGCCTCATTTCTCCCCTTAATTTCAGTTCACTGTGGCTTCCCTGCTCTGAAAGCTCATGCAAAAGCTCTGAGAAAACAGTAGAGATTTGGCAGTATTAAAATCCAGCCATCAATTTGTTTTAGAAAGTGTTTTTGGAAGTCGTAGGAAGGTTTTTAGCAACATTTCCTTTCAGAAGCTGTTTGGCTTCGAACTGTCCTGGCACCTGGGTGTCATCGTCCCTGGAGAAGCCCCAGACAAATTCACAAGTGGATGGATGTCTGTTGGGGCTCTAATGGTCTTCCAAGGTTTCCTAAACACTGTCTTCATAACAGAATAAACTCCTGTGTCATAGTTTCAACTTGTTTGTCTTTTCCCTGTGGTTAATTCAGTGTATGAAAACGATGACCAGCTGCTGTGGAACCCCGACTTCTTACCAGAAGACAAAGTGATCGAGTTCCTCAATGAAGCATCGAGGAGGACGGGTGATGAGAAAGGCCTAGATGCAATTCCTGAAGGCTCACATATTAAAGACAATGAGCAGGTAGAGAAGAATAATTAAGATTTGTAGTTTCATATTGCGGAATGAATTATCCCTATATTTCGTTTTACTCCCAAGTATTAAAATTGTGTTTGAAACAGCTTTATTATTCCGTGTGGAAACGGAAATATGATGGGTTTTTACTTCTCAACAAATACTCAGCTATTAACTTGGGCTTAATGTTGCTGTATGCATAAGTATATTTTTAAATATATAAATAATTGTGTATGAATGAGTTCTGTTTTTTCAGCCACAGATTTTTTTAAAGCTATCTGAATGCATACTTTTTTTTTTCTTCATACAAAAAAACCCTATCAATTTTACAAATGTATGCAGTGAACGACAATGTTAAAATACTTTAACATATATATTTACACACTTTAACACATATATTCTTGGTCATGTAATTAGAAATTTGGAAATATAAATGGGAAATAGGTCCTTGTGCTGTCTTAAATTACACTATGGTCATTCAAAGAGGGTTTTTTAATCTTCTCTTAATGGGTATTAGTGATTTCCTAAGTGTGCTTCTGCGGCACAACATAAATTGAGCGGTATCTGGAGTGTTTAATGTGTGTCTTTTCATCTTCCCAGGCGCTGTATGAACTAGTTAAGTGCAATTTTGATACTGAAGAATCATTGCGAAGGCTGAGATTTAACGTAAAAGCAGCCAGAGGTGAGCGTACGCTGAAAAGTTCAGTTTTTATTGTTGAACTCTCATTTTATTCGTTTTCGGAGCCTTAAGCGTTTCCTGGTTTGCTATTATCTTTATACACAAAGGAATGAGAAACCAAGAAGAGGAGGCAGGAGTTATTTTCCTTGCGCATTGATCTGTGGGTTCTGCTTTCAAACCTGTGGCTGCTCCAGAGTTCACTGTGCAAATCACCAGGCAAGAACGATCAAACAGAGAAGATCAGTTTGTTTATTGGTGACCTTAAGAATCAATAAGGCCAAGTTATATTAAGTTCTTAGACGTGTGGCTGAAAGTTATTAGGGGTTTATTCTGGCTTCAGAGGGGCCAAGAATTCCCACCCAGTACTGGGAGCAGCACAATTTCTTATTCTGACTGGAATGAACAGCCTACTGCTCTTGCCAGCAGGAAAAAACATCTCATTCCTCTTTCCTTTTCCCCTGCTTCTTCCAAAAACCAGCAACCAGTTTGAAGCTTGAAGCCCTTTTGTGCTGTGTTCTGGCTGGAAGGAAACCTGCTTCCTGGGTGGAAGACTGGGTCTCTAAGCCCTTTTTCCTCTTTCTGCTTCCTGTTTATTATCCCCACGCGGCAGGGCTGCAGTTATGGACCCTTTAAAACAGCTACTTAAGGCAGCCAAATATCCCACCTACTCACAAGAAAGGAGGCTTTTTATTTTTTGCATTAGTAAGTGACATTTCTGGAGGTGGTTCTCCTTCAGTCAGCAGATGGCGTAAGGAAGTTCAGTACCACGTATGTTTCCTGTCACTTCACTTTTCTTTTTATTTTCCACGTGCTTTTTTGTTAAGTATGTTTTTTTTATTGCATTTCCCTGTTACAGAAGAACTATCTGTTTGGACAGAAGAGGAATGTAGGAACTTTGAACAAGGACTGAAAGTCTATGGCAAGGATTTTCATGTGATTCAGGCAAATAAGGTAAACACTGATTTTAAAGTGTACTTCTCACTCTTTTGTAAAGCAATTTGATTGTAAATAAATTCTTATCCTCAATTTCCTTCAAAAATTGCTGTATTTACTTCTTATTTTTTCTACGTATGTGTCCAAATTGGTTTGTTAAAGTCCAGAATCCTCTATACACGTGGCTATAAAATTCAGAAAAGTGTAAAAAATCCTGCTGTGCTTTCACACGGGAAGATCTGCTTCCCCAGATTCTGGTTTTTAATAGACTGGTGAAACAAACTGGAATATTCCTCCTGAAGCTGTTGCTTGCAGCACCTCCCAGTATCTTCACTGTCCTTAGAAGCACTATTAAACTTTGCATTTAAATTTCTGAGCCTCCGAAATTTTTGAGTCAATAGTTTTCATTATTTCCTACGTTGTATAAAGAAACATTGACTTTGAATTTCACACCTTTTGATGCAAATGGTAGCTTTTTTTTTTTTAATTGGCCAAAACTGTCTTGAAATTCATCAGCACGTATTTCCTAGGTACGAACAAGATCAGTTGGTGAGTGTGTAGCATTTTATTACATGTGGAAGAAATCGGAGCGTTACGATTTCTTTGCGCAGCAGACCCGCTTCGGCAAGAAGAAATACAATCTTCATCCTGGTGTAACGTAAGATGTGCATCATTTTTACGTGTTGGGTCTACATCTTGATTTTATACTGCTCTTTATCCTGTCCCGATTTGCAGCAGGAAAACAGCCAAGGTGTAAGAAAAGCTGACTGGTGGCTATTATATCATTTCTAAAATGCATTTGTTTGGAGTAAGGCCAGCTATTATAAGGCTAATTGTTATAAGGCAAATAACACTATTTAATTTAGTTTGGTTTCTGTTTAAATGATTCACGAATGTTAACATTTCTGCAGATACATGGAGTTTTTTAAATGCTTGCTTTACTTTAACTACACGTTTTATACAAAGGCACTAGTCACAAGTGTTGGATGGCTGAAGGGAACTTGTGGTGTGACACCAAGGGTGGCCATCTGTGGTTTGTGAAGCAGATTGTCACAGAGAGCCACCCAGAGCCCCTGGATTTTCTTAACCAGGTGTCAGGGACTGTCTGTCTCCCCCTCTTCTGCCATCTGGGTTGGGGTTTCTTTCCCATTTTTTCCCATTTTTTCCCATTTTTTCGCAAATTAGTAGACATTTTTGGTTGTTAATCGCTTAAAACATGCTCCGATTCTTTTACAGTTGATCAGAAGTGGTGTTAAGGATTGTCCTTGTCTATACTTTTGCAGATGGGTGTGGGAGTTCAGGGTGCAGTATCAGTTCCAGAATAATGATGTGTGAGGCTGTGCTGCTTCTGGAGTTAATCCAGACTAATACCATCCCTACAAGGGCTTTACCAACCAGCTTTGTTTAAATCTTTTCCTACGAGATTTACTATTGGTGACCTCAATTGTAGGTCTGTAATAGATTTCCGATATGGAAATGTCTTAAACTCTGAAGTTTTCTGTTCACTTTCAACTTGATCCCTTTTGGGGTTGTATGTGCACAGAAGTTATTTACTTTAAAGGGACGTTGGGTGTCTATTTTTGTCAGTCAGGTTGACGGTTGGACAAGATGATCTTTAAGGTCCCTTCCAACCTAGAAGATTCTGTGATTCTGTGATTCTGTTATCGCTGCTGCAGGAGATTGGAAAAGCTTGGTAGGAACCTGCCTGAGAGCATCACCCTCCAAGAATCCAAGTTTCTGCTCCTGCTTGATCTTGTGGGATTTAGCACAAAGATGGGATGAATTTATATAAGCTGGGTGCAGCAATTAGTCAATAAATACGTAATTACTGTGGACAAACCATACATGGGCCAGTTTATACAGGAGATCTTAAAGATGTTGGCTTTGCCAGATATAAATCTGTGTGGTTCAAAAGGTGTAAAATGGGAATTGGTCACACTTGGGATATATGCACGGAGTGATTTTGCACAAGTAACACTTCAAGGGTGGTGCTGAAGGAGCTGTTTCTGTCCTGTCAGAGATTATATGGACCGGCTGCTGGATGAGAGCGAGAGCGCTGCTTCCAGCCGAGCTCCCTCCCCTCCTCCCACCACGTCCAACAGCAGCACCAGCCAGTCGGAGAGGGAGGACAGCACAACCAGCAGCAGCAATCAGAACGGTTAGTGTCCCCCCTAAACCCTCCTAAACACACCTGGTGACCAGCCAGATGAGAAGTTCAGCTCGCTTTTCTGAAAACAAGCCCATTTTACTATGGAATATTCACTTTGGTGGGAGGGTGGTGAGAGCCTGGCCCAGGTTGGCCAGAGAAGCTGTGGCTGCCCCATCCCTGGAGGGGTTCAAGGGCAGGTTGGAGGGGGCTTGGAGCAACCTGGTGTGGTGGGAGGTGTCCCTGCCCAGGGCAGGGGGTGGCACTGGATCATTTTAAGGTCCTTTCCAACCCAAACCATTCTGTGATTTGGTCTGGAGAATAAGTCTTATGAGGAGAGGCTGAGGGAGCTGGGGTTATTCAGCCTGGAGAAGAGGAGGCTGAGGGGAGACCTTATTGCTCTCTACAACTCCCTGAAAAGAGGGTGTAGCCAGGGGGGGTCGGTCTCTTTTCTCAAGTCACAGGCGACAGGACAAGAGGAAATGGCCTCAAGTTGCGCCAGGGGAGGTTCAGGCTGGATATTAGGAAAAATTTTTTCACTGAAAGGGTCATCAGCCATTGGAATGGGCTGCCCAGGGAGGTGGTTGAGGCCCCATCCCTGGAGGTGTTCAAAAGACGGGTTGATGTAGTGCTGGGAGGTATGGGTTAGTGATGGGGATGCTTCTTGTTTGTTGTGTGGGTGTCTATTTTTGTCAGTTAGGTTGATGGTTGGACAAGATGATCTTTGAGGTCCCTTCCAACCTAGAAGATTCTGTGATTCTGTGATTCTATGATTCTGTATTTTTCATACGAGCAGCTACATGATTGCATTTAGCCAGTGGTCACATATTGAAGATAAATCTCCACTCGAGCCTTCCTTTTAAGTGTAAACAGCCTGTTTTGGTCTTCCCCGTGCTGTTAGGGGGGTAATGCTGACATGGCTAACTTTGTGAGCAGTCCCTTACTGGATATTGAAAACAGCTGTGATGGGAACTGGGCTGGCACACACACCAGTGTTTCTCCAGTGCTGCTCTGAGGAGCACCATTAGCTCTTCTTACTAGAGGTTGGGGTGCTGAGGGCAATTAAGGATGGGAGAGGAGCCAGGGCACCCTCACTCCTGAAGTGAGAAAGCCTTCAAAGCAAGGGATGGCCATTGTGAAGCAGCTGAAGGTGGTGGAGAGAGGAGCTTGGGGGATGAATCAGAGTGTGAAAATCCAGTGGGGGCTACAGAAAGTGCCAAGGGGAGGACAGTCTAGGGACAGTCAAGGGACATTTTCTTGGCTTTTATTGCTTGTGAGGGCTTCCATAAACTCCATCATGGCAAGCCTGTCATTTGTATGCAAATAAATCACTCGTTCATCACACAGTGAGGATATGAAGAACCGTATTGGCTTTTTAGCTCAATGGGAGTAATCAGAATTCTGCTTTATTGAGCTGTCCCAGATTGTTCTGTCACTGCTTGTGCTTCTGTTCTCTTTCTTATGGTCTTCCTCTGTCCCCCAGGGGTGTCTGCTAATGGGCCGGGCGAGATACCAAATAAAGACGAAGCAAAACCGGAAGGGTTGCACGTAAACGGACCTACCAGTGGCAAGAAAACACCTCACACGGATCTGGATACAAATGGGTATGAGACTGAAAACCTTTCCGTCGATCCCAAACTTGCTCATTCAGCTTCAAGGAACGAGAACGATTACGAAGAGAAAAACGAAAGACCTCTCAAAAGAAGAAGAATTAACAGCAACGGGAAAGAGAGTCCCGGCTCCTCAGAGTTCTTCCAAGAAGCAAACTCACACGGGAAGCCTGAAGAAGTAGAAACTTTGGATGACTGAATACTGAGAGCTGATTTTATTCCTTGGAGTAATTTTGGGTGTCTAAAATTTTCAGGGTTGATGGGTTACCTTACAAAATCCAGTTCCGTGAAACAATAATTTTGGGTGTCTAAAATTTTCAGGGTTGATGGGTTACCTTACAAAATCCAGTTCCGTGACACAATCTGCTGAGATTTTTTTTTTTTTTTTTTTTCCCTAATACCTTCTAGTTGGCTCTTTTAAGATCTGATTATTTGGGTTTGTTTTTTTTTTTTTTTTTCCAGTGCTGAAAAGCAGTAGGAGAGTATATTTCCATTTCTCAGAGCTGGCGACTGTAGTTCTGGGAATCGTGTCAGGCTTTTAAAAAGATTTGAGGAACAAATCAGTGAGTTTCTGCAAGAAAAAAAATTAATACTCCCAACCTAATAGGTTAAAAAAATTTTTACAGCATTTTAAGAGTTGTAAGAGTGAACAAAGCATCCTATTTGAAGGCAGGGGCTGGTTCAAGTGTTGCAGGAGGTTAAAAATGAAATGGAGAATGGCAGGCACAGAGAAACCGCCTCGGCCCGTCGCTAAGGAACCCTGATGAATCCTGAAAGTTATGAGCACAACTATTTTTATATATAGAAGTTTTAAAAGGTAAATAAACCAGGTCAGGTTTGTCTATGTAAAATTGTTGACATCAATGATGTCTTTCCATATTCTTTATCTGGGCTAAAGAAATACATTCTGTATTTTTCCAGATTTCTTTGTAGCCTTTGAAAGATTTTTACAGTACTTATGTCTTGATTGAACTGTCCTTTCTTAAAACGAAAGCTTGTATAATTTTTCTTACCTTGTACAGTTGGTAAACTTTTATGAGAGAATTGATATCCTGAGTCTAACGTCGGCCTCGTTTTATTTTGCTGAAGTTTTTTCTAAAAAAAATGAAACCCAACAAAAAAAAAACCAAACAACCAACCCCAAACCAAATCAGTTGACTTAAAAAAAAATATAATTATTAGTCACCAACGTTCTTTTCTTCTCTGAAAACAGCGAACAGTTACCAAGAATGGTTAGAAGTAATATTTGATTTTAAAAACATGAGTTTTCTTCTGTTTTAGGGCAAATAGTGATGCTCGAAATGTGTTAAGCACGATGCTTGCGTTGCACAATTTTTTTTCTCGCTTTCGTTAGGCATTTTCTTATTTTCTTTTGAGCTGGGCTAAATCTCACAGCAGCCAAACGCTCCCCTTGACCAACCCGTGTTGGCCAGGATCAGGTGATGGATTAACCATGGATTTCTTTTGCAGTTTTAGTGTCGTTTTCCACATTTCCTCCATCACAGAAAGGGGTGATTCTGGGCATCCCAAACGTGCAGCTGGAAACCTGCTGCCCGAGCTGGGATTTCTGAAAATGAGCAGAACTTGGAGGGATGGGAGCAGAAATACCACATACACACGTAGATACCTTCAGTACATAGAAGTGAGAGGAGGTATGGACAACTATTTTAAGATTAAAGTGCAAGAAATGAAAATTCTTTATAAATTTGTGTGAGGGGGTGATGCTCACGGTCCCACTAGTGTCATTTGGATGTTGAAAGATTTTTAATACCCGTCTTATTTTTTTTTTTTAAGCCACAGCGACACATCTACTATATTAAAAATAGGAAAAAATTGTTCATTTGTATAATTTATAACCTTATCTCCTCCTCCTGTGGCTCACAGGTGTGTCGTTCATTTTTTTAAGCAGTTATTTTTTTTTAAAAAAGTTTCTGAGTCTTCGCGATTCCAATTATCAATGGAATTTAAAAGGTCCTATGGTTAGAAATTGAGGCATCAACCTAAAAAAAAAAAAAACAACTGAAGGTTTTATTTTTCTTCATGTACTTGGACTTTATGGTCATTAATGAGCCCCATCCTCTTTGAGGAGTTACTGGAGTGTGTGAACCTGCTCTTCCCAGGTGAGAGGGACCCCTTCTAAGCTGCCCTCAGAATTAGACAGCAATTCACAGGGAGGTTTGTTAATTAATTGGTTAACGCAAGCCATACGTTAAGTGATGGCTGTTAATTGTACCATCTGGTTAATTAGTGGAAACCCAAGGTATGGCAGCCTTCTCTCAAGGCTGGGGACGGTTTCGGGCTGCGGGTGGTGCAAGAGCTTCTCCCAGTCTTTGCAGCTCAACTCCTATTTTCACTTTTATTTTCTGGTGCATTTTTATTTCCGAGTTGGAAAATACTTCCAAAACTTTATAGGAAAGTTTCTAAGTCAATCGTCTCAGGCTTGTGTGTGAGATACAGCACTGTGTATATTTTTTCAGGAATGTTGCTTTGGGTTTTTTTATCTGTTTTGTTTTTTTTTTTTTTTTTGGCTATACATAGAAGAGACCTGACATTCCGTAATCGACAACTATGTAATGCTCAGCTAGACTTTTAAGCCTATTTAATTATAATTTACGTTTTGTTTATGCTGGTGTTTTATACTTTGTTCATGTTCTTCGAAATGCAGCCACTATAACGTGATAAGTCATTGCACTACTAAAGCTATTTAAAATTCTAGAAATAGAGTAACTTTGATTTCTTTTCAAGAGCTTTTGGTGCAGTTTGGAGCCAGGAAGCGGTTGAAGGTGGCTCCAAACTGGGTTGAAAAGATTCACAATTTGCATGTGACACTTGGTGTGTTTTATGGGGGGAGAAGATTCACCCCATTCTTTAAGACTGGGGCCTGAAGGGAGAATCCAGTTCAACACAACAAACCTGGTATTAAAAAAAAACAAAACAAAACAAAACAAGAAAACAACCAAAAAAACAGCTACACACACACAGAATTTACAAATTAGTTTTATACATTTTTTTTTTCCACACATAGGAATTTTGCACTGTTAGTAATTCCCTTCTCTTACCCCCGCTCCCTGTCTGCAATTCTGAAAAAAAAAAAAAAAGCTTATTAAAATATTTTTTTAAAACCTACTGTCTGCATAAAAAATTCCTGAGTTTCTCGATGAAAAATTCCTGGCTGAGAAGGGTGGGTAGAAGGTGGCAGCAGCGAGGGAGTGACTCCAGAACTGCTGTGGGGGGGGAAAACACCCCCAGGAACAAAAATATACCCTTTTTCCAATTAAACTTTCCAATAGTTTCTTTCTGAATTCAGGTGGTGCCGTCCCGGAGGAGGAGGGCAGTGGGTTAGCGCTGGGTTAGGGTTTTATTTCTAAGTCAAAAAGCCCACTAAGTCCCTGGTTTTATTTAATATCTCCATCCTTAATCATGGCAGAGGAAGAGCAGGCGAGGGAGGAAGAGGAGGGAAGGTCAGGGGTTTATTCAAAGCCAGTACAAAAATACATAGGCACATAAAATCCTTATTTTTTTCCATTTTTTGCTATCATCACTGACATACAAAGCCTGCCATACATTCAGATAAAAAGGTCACCCTTTTAATCACTAAAACAGTCATTTGTAAATAGATTCTATAATAGGAAAAAAACAAAAAAACAACCTTTTTAGTTAATTAATCTCATAGAAAATACTGCTGCAGGAAGGCTGTTGGCTTTCCCAGTGTGTACAACACCATCCAGACCCCAGCACCGAGGGGTGCCTGGTTACAAACAAAATAAGCTTTAAAAAATACTTTCTCCATTTGGACAACAAATCTAACCAGTAGATTGAAAAATAATAAGCAAAAAAAATAAAAATCATCACTTTTTTGACAGAATCGACTCAATGTGGCCAAATTACAAGCAAAAAATACATGATTTGTAAATATTTCTGTTGAGGTGGCTGAAGGAGGGGGGAGCTGCCGGCCCCCAGCACCCCCCCGGCTACTGGGAACCAGTATGGGGACCAGTAACTCCGCTGGGATTCAGATTTCCCAGCACTCTTAGAGAAAAACTCTCTGTAACATATAAAAACCTCCAATATTAAGCACTTCCATACATGTGGCTTCACCAAACGGCAGTTAAAAATTTAACAAAAACCCTCCAGAAATAAATTTTCTTGGCGAGAGAAGCTATTTCCTTGGTAAAAAGGAATGTATAGTTTTACCAAATCTTTTTTTTAACCAAAATTATAGACAATTCTTTTTTAAACCAAAAGACAATGCAAAGAGAGACTTAGAAAAGAAGTGCTGGGCACAATAACCTTTAAAAAAAAAAAATCAGTTAACACTGCCTGACATATTAAAAATCCTGGTTTTTTTAATGTGTCACCAACTGAAGATGACTTCAGTCCATCAGAAGAGCACGGGACAGGGCTTGGCTGAGACTCAAGTGCTGGTGGCCCAGGTGCCACCTCCCCTGGGTGCCAGGTGCCACCAGCCCCATCCACTTGGCCAAAATGCCGGGATTTGAGTCCCTGTTTGAGGATGTTCTGGACCAAGAGATGGGGCTCTGGGTGCTGGGGTCGGGGGGGGACACATCTCCTCTCCTGCAAACCCCACATCTACCCCCTCTTTGGGTCCCAAATGCCCTGTGAGGTCCCTACTAACTTGCCCAAATCCATGGAATTATTAGCCCGGGGTGGTTTGATGGAGGCAGATGGTCCCCTGAGCTCAATGGTGCTGGGTAAAACCATCCCTGAGCCTTGGAAAAGTGACCCCGGGCAGGAGGGAGGGGGGTGAATGGCTGCAGGGCTTTAGAAACCAAGGAGGGGGGCAAACCCAGCTTTAAAAGTGGGTTAAAAGAACCAAAAAAAAACCCTAAAACTAACAAAAGTTAAGTTCGGAGAGCGCTGAGCGTTCACCAACGGGGGTTTGACCCAAAGAAGGAGCAGCTTTGCTGGAGAGGGGTGGGGAGTGGGACACCAGTGTCCCCCCCCGTCCCGTGGGGTGAGGAGGGGGTCCCAGATGGGGCTGGGGACCGGGGTCCCCACCCCCCGCAGCCCCCAGGGAGCCGGGATGCAGCCCAGGATGCTCGGGATCCAGCCCTGGGAGCCGAAGGCAGGAGGGAGGGGGGTGAATGGCTGCAGGGCTTTAGAAACCAAGGAGGGGGGCAAACCCAGCTTTAAAAGTGGGCTAAAAGAACCAAAAAAACCCCTAAAACTAACAAAAGTTAAGTTCGGAGAGCGCTGAGCGTTCACCAACAGGGGTTTGACCCAAAGCAGGAGCAGCTTTGAGGAGAGGGGTGGGGAGTGGGACACCAGTGTCCCCCCCCATTCCATGGGGTGAGGAGGGGGTCCCAGATGGGGCTGGGTACCGGGGTCCCCACCCCCCGCAGCCCCCAGGGATCCGGGATGCAGCCCAGGATGCTCGGGATCCAGCCCTGGGAGCCGACAAGTCCTTCTCCACCAAACCTCAACGTGATTAGAAACCTCTTAATTCCTCACCATCAGGCTTAATTAAGACCCATTCTTGGCCAGTTTATCATCTTCCCCTTAATTTGCAAAGGCAGCAATCTCCAGTGTGCGAAGGGGATTCCTTCCCACCTCCTGCCCCCCCTCAGCGGGGGCAGAAACGGGGGTGATTCCTGGGAAAACGTGAAGTCGCCTCCCCCGGGATCACACGGAGCTTTTGCCTTTAATATCCAGCTTGAGGCCGCCTTCCGACTGCTTGCTCATCTGCTCCTCCGTGAAGGTGATGTAGGAATACACCAGGCTTCCTGCAATACTGCACAAACAACAACAACAAGAAAAAAATCAAAAAACAAACAAAAAAAACAAACAAAAAACCCCCAAACAAAAACCCCAAACAAAAAACCCCCCAAAAACCCAAAAAACCCCAAACAAACAAAACCAAAAAACAAACAAAACCAAAACAAACAAACAAAAACCAACAAAAAAAAACCCCAAAACCCCAAAAAACAAAAAACCAGAAAAAAATAAAAAACAAGGAAAAACAAAACAAAAAAAACCCAAAAAGCCAAACCAAACCAAAACCAAACAACCAAACCAAACCAAAACCAAACAACCAAAAAAACCCCAACCCCCAAAAAAGAACCAAAAAAAAAACCAAAACAAAACCCAAAAAACCAAAAAACAAAGAAACCCAAACAAAAAAACTCATGTTCTTTCTGCCTTCCCCCGTACCACTTGTGCCTATTGTTTTATCTGTTTGACCAAAAAGAAGAAACAACAAAAATAAAAGAAATGTTTGTGCTTTGGTTTATAGTAGATCCTAATTTTCCTTATGAAGTAAATATTCTCCTTTATTTGTTTTGACTAGCAACCATACCAGGACCTTCCCCGGTAGCTTACTCCAAATCTTGCCCCAGAACTCTGAGGACACCACAGACCATTTTGCATCTGCATCTGCCTTCCAAGTTCCAAAGTATCAAAAGCAGTAATCCCTGATTAAAAAAAGAAGCACTGCCATATATGTCAGCTATGATGAATGTTCTTTTCCTACAACCTCAAAGAGATTTTATCTGCATTGAGATGTGAAGTAGACAAGTACTATGAAAGCTGCAGTAGCTGGGGAGGTATCACCAAAGTTCCTTCTTAAAGAAGCTTCCTCTCACTTTTCACTAGAATCATGCATCAGAAGCTTATCTTATGTGCTGGAAAGTGACCATATTTTACTTCTTGCTCAGACAGAGATAACTGCATCTAGGATGTTTATTACACACAAGTCCAAATGCACAATGCATAAAATGTGTTATCCTTATGCAACGAAATGAGAATATCTTTGATGCTATCCACAATATCATCAGACCCCCCCCCCCCCAAAAAAACCCAACAAAAACCAACCAAACAAAAAAACCAGAACAACAAAAACACCAAAAACCCAAAATAAAACAAAAAAACACCAAAAAAAGCAAACAAAAAAAAAACACCACAAAAGAACCCCCACAAGAAACCAAACCAAAACCAAACCAAAAACCCCCAAAATCCCCCCCCCCAAACAAAGGGGTGAGGATGGGGACTGAGGCCTGGGGGCTCCCCCGGGACACACCACCACCTCCCCTGTTTCTCCAGCCCAGGCCTGGGCAGCCCCAGCACCAGGCACCAGAGAAAAGTCAAACCAAGGGCACGGCCATGGTCAAGGATCTGCTCCAAACAGCAACTGGCAAGAAAACTCTCTGTTTTCCACCCAAGATGAGATAGTTGGGTTTAATTCCCACCCAAACGCTTGCGGAGCCCCAGTGCCCGGCCTCGTGCTGAACCACAGAGTGACGGGGTTGGAAGGGATCTCTGGAGGTCATCTACTCCAGAGCTGGACCTGCTCCCTCACTGCAGGGTCCTGCTGAAGGACAGGAGACTTCTCACAGCACAGAAACACACCCAGACCAGAGAGGAGACACTTCCAAAAGCTGTGCTAAAATACCAGGTGAAATAACCTCAAAAAGCATTTCTTTTTTTGCTACCTTTTTTGAACCTCCCCCCCTCCAGCTCTGGGGCCACCACCAGCAGAAGGACATGGAGCTGTTGGATGGGGCCAGAGGAGGCCCCGGAGATGCTGGGAGGGCTGGAGCCCCTCTGCTGGGAGGTGGTTTGTGGGTTTGTTTTTTTTTTGAAAGAAGCATTTACATAGTCAAAATAATCTCATTTTCACTCATAAATCATAAATAAGAGCTGCCAACACCCAACGGTCTTACCTGATATTTAGACCAATGAAGTTCGTCCATGTAAAAATATAGTCTCCTCCAAAAAACATCCCAATATAGGTTATTAAAATATTCTGCAAAGGAATGAGATTCGAGGAACAAGAGTATGAGTTTCTACACAGCTCCAGACAACGTGTGCTCTGGGTGTGGAAGCAACACGGAGATGGAAACCTCGGACACAGAGTGTGGAAAGGGCAAGTGGTGGAAATCCCTAGAGCTGCTGAGAAACCCTCCTGGATGGAGACTGTGGTTGCTGGGGCACCACACGTTGTCCCTTGTCCCCAGACCAGCCCTAAACCCAGAAGAACACCCAGGAGCACCCTCTGGTTTTGCAATGGGGCCCTTGGACCAAGGTGAACCAGAGGTTTGGGGGTGTTTTGGGGTGTTGTGCAGGTCATTTGCCCAGGGGAGTGGAATGCGGTGACCACAGAAGGACACAGAGCTGTTGGATGGGGCCAGAGGAGGCCCCAGAGATGCTGGGAGGGCTGGAGGGAGGGAGGAGGAGGAGGAGGAGGAAGAAGTGCAGAAATTCACAGCAAGACAAGAAACACCCCCCCAACATTGGCTTTCACATCACAGCAGGAAAAAAACCCAAAAAAACCACCCAAACAAAACCCAGCCCAACCCCAGCGTGACATCCTGGGGCTGGGGGAGGGATGGCTGCCCAGGGCAGCATCACCTCCAGCATCAATCCTGGGAAAAATAGGGAAAAATAGGGAATAACAGTCCTACAGGTGGTCCCTTGGGGGGGGCACGGAGATGCTGGGAGGGCTGGAGCCCCTCTGCTGGAAGGACAGGCTGAGAGAGTTGGGGGGTTCAGCCTGGAGAAGAGAAGGCTCCGGGGAGACCTTCCAGCCCCTGCCAGTCCCTCAAGAAGGGGGGCTCCAGGAAAGCTGGGGAGGGACTCTGGATGAGGGAGGGGAGCCCTAGGAGGAGGGGGAAGGGTTGGACCCTGAAAGAGGGGAGATGGAGATGAGCTGTGGGGAAGAACTTGTTTGGTGGGAGGGTGGTGAGAGCCTGGCCCAGGTTGCCCCAAGAAGCTGTGGCTGCCCCATCCCTGGAGGGGTTCAAGGGCAGGTTGGAGGGGGCTTGGAGCAACCTGGTGTGGTGGGAGGTGTCCCTGCCCAGGGCAGGGGGTGGAACTCAATGATCTTGAAGGTCCCTTCCCACCCAAACCATTCCATGACTCTATGATACGGGGGGAGCAGGGAGGCTGTGGATGCCCCGAGGCTTTGCTGGAATAACTCCCACCAGCAGCAGCTCCAGCCACACGTCCCAGCCACGCCGGGCTGGCACGAGATGACACCGGCCACATGGAATTGGGGAGAGACGTGGTGCCAGGCACGTCCCGAGCCCTCGGAGCCCCCACAACAACAGCCAAGGCTTCCCAGGAGCCCCAGGCGATGGTCACCATGGCCACCAGGAGCAGAGGAACCACCTACCTTAATGCAGCCAACTATTGTAGTTGTGAGCGCAGAGTTATACTGAGTGCAAAGAACCGTGGAGTACATCAAAATAAACCTGCAGGAGGCAGAGACCCACATCAGGCTGCGGGACATATTTTTGAGCTGCCCTTCAGCTCAGCAGCCCTCCCTCGTCCCCCCCCTTTTTCCCCTAGAGCCATATTTGTACCAATTTTTGGCTAAACCTGCGCTGAAACAGGGTGGGAAATTATTGCCATCTGCCAGCCCTCCCCCTGGCAGGGTTAGAGATTTAGATATTTCATTTTTTTTTAAAACCCAGAATGGTTCAGGCCCCCAAAACACACATGACTTCTGGAAGGTTTAGACTAAAAATTAGGAAGGAATTTTTCACAGAGTGGTCAGACACTGGAAGGGGCTGCCCAGGGAGGGGGTTGAGTCACCATCCCTGGAGGTGTTTGAGGGACATTTAGATGTGGTGTTGGGGGATATGGTGTAGGGGAGAACTTTGTAGAGTAGGGGAGATGGTTGGACTCGATGATCCCAAGGGTCTCTTCCAACCTGAACGATTCAATGATTCTATGAACGATGCCTCCCTGGTGCCCAACTGCCCATTTCACAGATGCTCCCCAACCCCCAGCCCTGGGAAGAGGGGTCAGAACCCACCACCACCGTGTCTGTCCTTACCCCATGACACACGACAGCGTAAACTGCACCACGAAGAGCGTGTCCGCCCAGCCCTGGTACGCCATGGCCTGCAAGAAACACAGCCCGACCCTCAGAGGAGGAGGAGGAGGAGGAGAAAGTGCAGAAATTCACAGCAAGACAAGAAACACCCCCCCCCGCCCCAACATCAGCTTTCACATCACAGCAAGAAAAAAACCCCCAAAAAACTACCAAAACAAAACCCACCCCAACCCCAGTGTGACATCCTGGGGCTGGAGAAAAAAAATCCAAAAACCCACCAGGTTCTCCCTGCCTGGGCACAGCTTGGGGAGGGGGGGACAGGAGGGGACAGGGGTGTCTGCTGGGCCACCAGTGGTCACCCACTGGGTAACAGTCCTACAGGTGGTCCCTTGGGGGGGCACGGAGATAGTGGCCACCCACTGGGGTGGGCAACACCTCCAGCATTTGCCTCCCCGCCCGTGGAGAGGGATGAGAAATGAGTCCATGGAGTACGGAGCTGCACATAAGTGAGTGTAATAATAATAAATAATAATAATACTACAATATAAATTTAAAGTTTACAGAGCCAGATGCAAATCAGAGGGTGCCCTGACGGGGCTTTGGGGACAAAGTGACCTCCAGAGCCATTCAGCCCAACCGCTGCCCCGCGGGAGGGACAAAAAGCAGCCTGAAGAAGCCTAATTTATTCTAAAAATACTCCGCTCCTTTGTTTTAAGTAATGCTTGGTTTCAGTTATTGCTCTCGCACTTCCCCATTCCTCAAGCCTTACCAAAAAATGGAGCAATCCTGGGGATTTGAGAGCCCAATGTAAGACTGACGGTTACTTTCCGCTCCTTTCTACCCCAAAACCCAGCCTCACCCCATCCTTCACCCCAGCCCCCTCCCTGGTTTGCAAATTAGGGATAATGAACTACTTTAATTGCACGTTTTGAGCGTTTCCCATCTTGCCCAAGAAAGCCAAGAGAGCGTGTCCGCCCAGCCCTGGTACGCCATGGCCTGCAAGAAACACAGCCCGACCCTCAGAGGAGGAGGAGGAGGAAGAGGAAGTGCAGAAATTCACAGCACGACAAGAAACACCCCCCCCCAACATCAGCTTTCACATCACAGCAGGAAAAAAAAAACAAAAAAAACACCAAAACAAAACCCACTCCAAACCCTGCGTGACATCCTGGGGCTGGGGGAGGGAGGGCTGCCCAGGGCAGCATCACCTCCAGCACCAATCCTGGGAAAAATTGGGAATAACAGTCCTACAGGTGGTCCCTTGGGGGGGGCACGGAGATGCTGGGAGGGCTGGAGCCGCTCTGCTGTGAGGGGGGGCTGAGAGAGCTGGTGGAGCTCAGCCTGGAGAAGAAAAGGCTCCAGGGAGACCTTTGAGCCCCTTCCAGTCCCTCAAGGGGCTCCAGGAAAGCTGGGGAGAGACTCTTGGTCAGGGAGGGGAGCCCTAGGAGGAGGGGGAAGGGTTTGACCCTGGAAGAGGGGAGATGGAGATGAGATCTCAGGAATAAATTCTTTGGTGTGAGGGTGGTGAGAGCCTGGCCCAGGTTGCCCCGAGAAGCTGTGGCTGCCCCATCCCTGGAGGGGTTCAAGGGCAGGTTGGAGGGGGCTTGGAGCAACCTGGGCTGGTGGGAGGTGTCCCTGCCCAGGGCCAGGGGGTGGCAC